AGGGCTTTATCCATGCCAAGATGCGTTGGAGAATGCCGGCTATGATGCCGCGATTGACTTTATTACCACTTTTGATTTCGAAGTTTGCATTGCTGAGGTCGACATGACAGTTGACTTCCACCTCGGAAAAGCTTTTGGCCTTGAGGCAACCACGGAACCTCGTTCTAGTGCTATTTGTGAGGGGAAAAATAAATGTTCTTTTCTCTTTTAATCTTTACCCCACTGGTGCTAAGTGTCCACCAAGCCACTGAGCCTCAACAACACTCCAATTGCATGCGCACATCCTTCACTTTAGCCAAATGTATTTCTTAAGATAATTCTTTCTGAATCATCTTGCATTTTATTAACATTTTCATGGTTCTAAATAACTAAACACCAAAAGTCAATACCTGAAGTATATCAGAGTTTCAGTTGGACAATCTCACGATTTGCAATCTGAGGTAACAAGACCTATACGCTAGAATTCTGAGTGTTTTTTTTCCTCGCCCAATTTCTAACTTCTTCAGCATCAAATTCCATTTACTCATTTTAACCAATCCATTTGTCCCATAGGTACTATAGGTGACACTGTATATAGGACTAATACTGCAAAGCTGTTGGGTTTCCTAACAAAGCAGTAAAGCTTGGAACGAATGATCCATCATTCATTCGTTCTACTTATATATATCCCTCCGTTACAATATGATATCTATCCCAGTCAGTCATTGTATTGCAATGTAGCCTTGGATTGTGCCATCATTCCTTCATTCATTCCAAGCAGAGCCATCCATCATATCTTATATATATATATATACCTATCATTCCTACGTCATCGTCATTATTCCTACCCTATTGTCGAAAGAGTCCTCGTCTCCTATCTTCCATGCATTCGATTGCCTTGGGGCCAATGAATTCACAGACCTTTTCGGGGACTGGCGATTGGACAGATCCAGCTCCCGAGCATACTTGAATCTTTGCGGCCGTATCTGGATCCAAATAATCCTTGGCCTTGTTGAACAACAAGGTGGCCGTAAAGGGGAGTGGATACAAGATGCACCTCGAGAGACGTTCGGGGAAGTAGGTATTCAAGAGGCCCACCACCAGTTTGATAAAGGGGACTATCGACACGGACGATGGATTGGACCATCCTTGTCCAGCTCGAATATCAATGACAACCGTCACCTTTTCCGTACAAGATCGATCCAATTTGCGGTCTAAATACATGGCCACTGCCAAGGCATAGGTCG